ATCGATTTCTTGAGGCTACTAATAAATAAAAGACCGATCACTATTCGTAAAAATCCGTCAGTAATATGCATTAATACTGGCAATCCTGCCATGTGATGGCTCCTTGTTACGGTGTAGCCACACCACTACTAATTGTGTAATACACACCTATGTACGATCGCACAAGAATTGTGCGACCCGACCTTTCTTCCAAGGGTACGAGTAACCCCGGGACACTGCAGTTCCGAGCAATATAATCCGACTTCCCACATCGGAAACACTTTTATCGCTGCGATGACGCTCATATCTAGGCTTTAAAATGAGCAAGATCTCCATTGGCTCTGGGCCATCACTTATATCAGTCGACTGACGCTTGCCTTGGTACCAAGCTATTGAACTTGGCTTGCTTTATGCTAAACTCATTTTGCATCGCACGGTTGATGGCAGCGTCTAGCGTCTTGGGTTACTCACGGAACACGTGATCCTGGATAAGACCATCAATCAAACCCACTATGAACGTTAAAATTTGCGTTGAAACGTCAATTGGCTTGTCGACAATGCTCGATACCAAGTAGCGAACACTCTGTGCATACGAGCGTAGGTCGTAACGACCTTGACAAAACTTCAAGAACTCGGTGCGGGTATAGAACTCACTCTGTGGGGGCTCAAACACCTTCTTTAGCTCGATGTTTGGAGTGTTTCAGCTTGGAAGGCAGTTTGGATCGGCCAAACGCTTACCAGACGCCCCACATTATGCACGTCCCACAAGGATGGACATCGCGAATAAAATTTGCTACAACGGGTCACGTAGTTGTCATGCAGTGATTACTGCATCCAATTCGATAAAATATCGCGAGAGAGGCACGTTCTGTCCACCACAATACAAATAAACGCTCAACTTCAAAGATAATGTTCGTACGAAAAAATAGGAGTTGCGTCCTGCTTCCAAAATTTCATAATCTCATGATGCATGAAAATGACGGCTGTGTTATCTGATCATCCGGAGAAGACGACTATAGTAAACTGAATACGGCAACTTCCCCGATGATTTCAAGCAACCGCTCGATTGCCATCCACTCATGTGAAGATAAATGAGGAATCATCTCGCTCGTCAGCACATTGAGATTGCGGTACTGACGGACCGAGTGGTACCCCAACTTATCCATGTCACTCGTACAAGGGCAAACGTATGGCTTGAACTGGAATGCGCGACGTGCCCAACCGTCACGTCGTCAAACCTGAACTGAATGTCGTTAAGAATACCGCTCGAGGGCTGTAAGCTGCATATTCTTGATAGAGCCGGTAATGACGAGAAAAAGCGACTGTTGCGGTGATATCCCTAATTCAAATGTGCCGTGATATCGTGCGCCGGAGCTGATGGAGCCAGGTGACTTTAATTTATAAGGTGAACGGCCGGGTCCTGACTTTATCGGTAATGAGTGACACTTAGCCTTTACATAAAGATAAGGTACATATATGTACCTTCTGTATGCATTGTGGGAGTAAAAAGAAAGAAATTCACAGTAAAGGCATACTTGTCATCTTATATGAAGTCACAAACATTCTGTGTGATACAGAATGTTGGTTTCTACTTGGGGGTCTGTTTTGGTGACGAGACCGACGTAAATCGGTCTTTTGAAGTAGGCGGTGTAGGCCAGACCCTTCCGAAGTTCAAGCTCCGTACATCCAAGATCTTGTATAAGTTGAAGCTTAGGTCCACGCTCGATACACTTTTGATATATTAATCAGGAACCCAAGAGTTTACTAGTGAAACATCTACAAGCCCTTGGGGTGGTTTTTATATAGCCAGGGACCACTTACTTAATTTAAACCATTTGCAATTTAACCTTTGAGGAGTTTAGTCTTTCTTCCCTTCAAGTCGAAACTGTCCTTTTCCCTCCTCGTCAAGAATCGCTCCCTTGCCGCAAAAGCGTATGTGCTGTGTTTGAGGGATGGTCTGAGAACTGCGCCCTCTAACAATTGGTAATGACATCAAAAGGGTTCATTACACATGTACGCTGGGGGAGACACACTGTCGCTCATTACTAAACTACTTTGGAGACCACTTTATACGATCGGTGTCGTCCATATCATCTAAAGATCGCGGATTACTGCTGCTTTCTACCTCCGGGTTCGCCTGTGAAATTCGGGGACATTGTTTCGTCGCACATCAGACAACTTTATGCAGCGCTACAACATGTACTACGCAGTCTATCGAGACTCGACGTTTTCTCACGATGAACGTTGGACGGCCTTGCGTGAAAGCCCGATCGTACGTACCGCTTACATAGCGCACACATACTTTGATACTGCCGCTAGAGCAATAACATAAAGTACAACAGAGCTGCTCGACAGCTGGTAAATTTGTATTTTCTTCCCAGCATGGCTGGGATCCAATGCCTCTGCTGCGCTCGTTGAGCCTCCACTTTCATTCATCAACTAGCCCTCGCGGCTCGAAAGCTATACTCCGCATTAAATAAGACATCCACAGCTGGATAAACTATTAGTATGTCGGGAAAAGCCGCACCTGTTTGGAGATTTTCCATAACGGTGATAACTGGTCCTGCATCTGGAGGAGAATATACTGACTTTTCCGCGATGGGAGAACTGATCTCTCATCCATCGTCCGCTAGTTTTTGTCTTTCTTACTTAGCATGCGGATAAGAAAATCGAACGATCGCCGTAAGCCTGGTTAGACGGAACAAACACCTTTGTCATATGTCGCTTTGACACTTTCCATGTCGAATATGCTCCGTCTGAGTCATAATCGAATATATGGCCAGCGCAACCATTCTCAACAAAAGCGTAGGTAATTTTCATCACTGTTTCCATGAGCTAAGCGCTTCAGATCAGTTACGGAACCCGGCGATTCTCCTAAAACCTAGCTGGGTGTACCGATAACCTCTTCCGACCTACTTTTGTCACCAATTGTCTTATCCCCACAAAATTAATACTAGATATGAGCTTTTTAAGTGTGTTTGGCTACCTCGAGAAGATATCAATAAACAGTTTACATTCCATCATCTGAGAGGACACAGTCCAATAAGACTTGGTCATCAAAATGACAATGAATTTAATCAAGTGCAACGGGGTTGTCGTTTTACTTGCACAGATTTTTCTTTGGCTCAACGAGTTTTAACAACGACATTTTGTAAAATGCACACCATTGCAATAACCTTGAATGTTTCCAAATGGATTGGTTACTACTGCATGTGACAGGTCAACGCCTGGAAAGTGTCGGCCACGAAAGGAACTACATCTTATATCATTACGCTTAAGCCACAAGACTTAGCCTTTCATGAGAGGAGAGAGTGGATGACGCCGAAATGCAAATGCGATGCTCAACGTATAAATTCATCTATTCTAGACACCACGTCTGCACTGAAGGAGCAAAAATGCCTCGTACTTTCTTGGTGGAGTAGTCGCTTCACAATCGCGTAGCGTACATTTGTGAGCGAGCCAGATGAGATGTCGGGGTCGCCAAAAGGAGCTACCACGTAATTTGACGAGTTTTACTCATAGAATACAATACGGTGGCTAGGTGCGTGACAAAGTCATCCTTCTAGACAAAAAAGAGATACTGCATCGTGAGTTTGATTCGGACAAGAAGCCGGGAGAGAAAATGAGCCTTTCGCTCATTTTCTCGGCGCTTGAACAAGGCATTGTCGCGTTCCTGACCGCTCATAAAAACATGTGCTTGAGCCAGTATTTACGGGAAAAGTTACTGGTGTGACTCGATAAAGATTATACTCCATATGCTGCGTCCTAATAGCATTAATTCTAGACGGACATTGTGCATTTCGCTCTCACTCGAAGAGTGTTTGTATAAAGTTTCAGACAAGGGTGGTCTACGATCATGATAATTTGTGACATGGATGCTCAAATACAAGAATGGTCTATGACAAAATTTTGGCAAGGATGCATGAGGTTCACGTTTCAGTGCTGGAGAATATAATGGGTTACGCAACCTGTCATGTATGATTGCTGTACTTTTGGTGTAAAGCGAAACCCAGAAGCACTGTTGCGCAAAACCAGTGATGATGTATCATAGATAGGTGAGTGAAAATTCGTTGTGGAACGTGAGATACAATACGTTACTAGGATTATATTACAATAGATGATAGGTCGTATAACATTTAAATAGGCATCACTTTTAGCGCCGAATATTGCCAACGAAACAAAATTAAGCCCAAATCGCAGCATACCGGTAGGTGCCTCGCAACTCTAATAATGGCCAAGAAGGTAGTAGAGAGTAGTGACGAGTCGGACGACGGTCGGTCTAGTGCCTCTGGATCCGCAAGCTCTCGCTCTCGTTCAGGGTCTGAATCAGGATCAGGCAGCGACTCGGGCAGCGGTGACTCCGGTAGTGGCTCGGGCTCAGGTAGCGGGTCGGGCTCAGGCTCAGGCTCTGGATCTGACTCAGGCTCTGGTTCAGGTTCTGGTAGTGGGTCAGGCTCAGGCTCAGGATCGGGCTCAGGCTCGGGCTCGGGTTCGGATACTTCTAACTCACCAAAGAAGAAGCTTAAAAAGCGACGCACTCCTGCACCCAAGAAGCCGAAAGCCGCTGCTAAGAGTAAACGACGTGTTAATAAAGCAAATAAGAAAAATGCACAAGTACAAGCAAATGCCGAAGCAGAAGTTGAAGCGGACGACGAAGGCAAGGCGAAGAAAAAACGACGGGGAAAACTTCGAGTCAAAGAAGATGAAGACGAGGAAGATGACGATCTTGATGTGGCTGGATTGACCGAAGTGGAAAAGGAAAAAAGATTGCTGGAGAAATACGAAGCAAAAGAACAGCGCAATAAGGAGCGTGAGCTGAAGAAGCGACTTGCAGCATCTCAAGGCAAGGCTGAAGACGAGTCGTTTGAAGAGGAGGGGCAAGAGCTGTCATCGACACGTCGTGGAGGTCGCACAAGAGATAGCGACAGACGTAAGGAAGCACTGCATAATTTGAAAGCAAATAAGTCAAGTGATAAGAGTCGATCGATTTTAAGCAATCGATTCGGAGATGATGATAGTTCGGAAGAAGAAGGTGGAAGAAGTGGTCGTGATTTGGCTGAAAAGCGACGTCGACGTCGAGAACTTCAACGTGGTGGCTCTGGTCGACGTCGTGGTAATACGGATGATAATGATGATTATAGTGACGATGACAGTGACTCACGCAAGTCAAAGAAACCGAAGGCAACCGATGTGGTTAAGACGACAGAAGACGATGAGTTAGCGGCTCCAATTCGTCCTGAAGAAAATATTCCAGTGACGTGGGATCAAGCCAATCATTATTTGCTGCGACGACGAACATTTTTTGAAAAGCATTTTTTTGAGCCTTTTTTCTCGCAATTGGTACGTGGTGTTTACGTGCGCGTTCCAATTGAAATGGTCGACGGTGAGATGGTTTATCGCTTCTGTGAGGTCGTGAATGTTTGCAAATTACCACGTAGTTATTCGTTTTGCGGTGAGTCGACGCAAATGGGGATTATTTGTGCGTTTGGCAAAAGCAGACGAGAGTGGAGATTAAATGGCGTGTCGGGACATTCCTTAAGGGAGCGGGAATTCTTGTTGTGGCGAGCTGTTATCAACAAGGAACGACTTCATTTTCCCACATATGGTCAAGTCAAACGATTGTTTTCAAAAAAACAAAAAATGATTGCACAGCATAACTACACGGAGGCAGAGGTGGATGAGATGGTGAGACGTAAACAGGCGGTAGGCCATTCCACGGTCTCTCTTGGTGTACAACGAGTACGTCTGGAACGAGATTTACGTGCTGCTCAAGATATGAAGAATTTTGAGAAAGCGGTAGTAATTGAGGAGCGTCTGCAAAAGTTACTAGCTAAGAACGAAGAGCGAATGAAACATAACTCGGACGATGTGCACCGTATTAATGAAATCAATCGGCGCAATCGAGAAGCTAATATTCAGCAGGATCTTCACGCTCAAGAATTGAATAATGCCATGAACCAAAAAATGACAAGCGCAGAACGTCTGCAGTTTGTTCGTGCAAATCAGATGACCATGTACATGTCCAAAGACAAGCTTGAAAAGAATTTAGCTGATGGCAAGCTTATCAAGCTAAATGATGGCCGTGTCATGACTTCAAACAAACTGCATCTTGTGGAAGCGCTACCGGATGATCTGCTCGACAAAGTGAAAGGCGTTGGTGAGAAAAAGGCAACAGATGGCTTAGAGATTGATATCGATCGTCTTTTGGCCAAGCAGCAAGAGCGCAAGCTGAAAGATGCCGAGCGAATGGAAGCGAAGCGTAAAGAACGGGAGGGTCAGGTTGAGTTTGTAGGTGCTGCTCCCACGAACGTTCAAGAGATGGTGAACGCTACAATTCGTATTAGAGATGACGATGGTTCGTGGACGACCCTGCGTTCACCTGCTGAGATTATGCTGGAGAAGAAGAACAAGACAGTTGTGTCGGAACAGGTCAAAGCGTCTCGCAAAGGTATTACAGTGAAGGAGTACTTTGACCGTGTCAAAAAAGCGCGACTTAAATGATCATCACAAGCTATTCATGCAGAGATTTTTCAGAAGAAAACAGCAATGCACATTTAGATGGAGAGTCAAAATTATATAATCGAGGCTCTCTTTGCGTGTTCCTTTTTCTTCCGATGCATCTGGATCTTAAATCCAGTACATAGATTCTTCTACCAACGAGAACCAAATAGAATGAACATTATCGAACACTATCAATAAGTTATCAATTTTGCAGAATGTTTACATGCTCAACGCTGTGAGAGCAAAGAGCAGGCAGCTGCAAGATGATTCGATGTTAGACGTTAGCCCGTAGCAAAGAATAGGTCAAATGAGGCAGTTTGGAATAAATTTAATGTACTCGTATCATAGCATTTCAAAGCATACGTGCCGTCCCCTTCAGAGTGTAATGCTAGTCAGGCTGACACTGGTACACCTCTTCGGTATATTTACGAAACGCGAGCTAGTATGGCAATAATAGTTAGTATATGTCATAGATTGACAATGCAATACAATAATTAAGAGCACTAGCATGGTCTGGTGCTATGCAGTTTTCACCACGAGCGAATCCTGCCAGAATTATCTTAAATTCGCTTCTCCCATTGCACTTTTCTATTCTATCCACGCTTTCGCAATTTCGTGAAAACGTTGGCGTAACAATATGTGGTCTTCTTGCTTTGACGAGAATCGCACACCCGTAATATTGAATGGACATTCCTGTGCGAGATTGCGTTCTTCAAAAGAGCCTGGATATACCTCGTATAACCTCGCCTGACTATAATATACAGGCTTATTTTTGGGATCATAAGTGAGGATCGCGTCGCTATTCAGATACAAGACGCTAGTATTGCCCACAGCACTACCATCTGCCGGTTTGACCGGATAGAAGTGCGCGGCGTGACCGCATAATACGGACATGCCAGGACCGTAGTCGCGAAAGTCCCAGCCCACGCTGCCAACTCCAAAATCAGAGAAAGCGTATTGCGTCTCTGCAAGTTCAGCAGCAATGAAAAATAATTCCTTTTCACCGTACGAAGGCGGCCAATTGATGTGATTCAACGCCACAAATGCCGCTAGCATCGCTGTTGCACGTGGTTGTCGCTTTTTGTTCCACAAAACTAATGATGAGTCCATCTCGTGTCCAGCGCGCTGATTCCACGAGTGACTTGATAGCAAATGCTCACTCGGTGAGTACTTGTTGAGCTTGACAGGAATCTTGTTCTTACTAGTGGCCTTAGGTCGTTCAATATGACTTAAAGGTGCGAACGGTGACACATCAAAGTGCGAAATGTACTGATTCAATTGACTCACAGCCATCTTATTGTCGATCCGCTTGCCTAGATACATTTCGTCTTGACTTAATCGATCGTGGAAGAATAGGGTACCAGTCTTGCCGTACTTTTCGGTGTCCCAAAGGGACATTGGGCTTTCAAAAAATATGGTGTCAGCATCAAGCAGCATAAGCTCTCCAAACTGCGAGTACGTCACCGCTAGCACTTTAATGCTGAAAGACCGAAACGTACGATGGCAACTATATAAATTCTCACAAAAGACTTGACGTGACGAATCTTTGAAACTAACAGCCTTTGCAGCAAGTTTGCATACATCATAGAAGCGAATCACACCCATCTCTTCCTTTCCCAGCACTATACGTTGAAGCCTCTCATCTAAGTCTCCACAATGTGGCACTTCGATGGGCAAATTCACACCCATGACTCTTAGCTCTAAAATGAGCGATAGTCCCAGACTCGCAATAGCATTAAATAATGGCAAAACAATACCACGTTTTTCAGTTGTACGCTGCGCAATTTGATGAATCGAGTACACGAGTTGCTTTTCCATAACATTTATGTCACTTATCGAGAAATTGTCAGGACTTGTCACTGTCTCTCGATTCTCAGTACTCGCTGCATTGCTGAAGTTTGCATTCTGTAACATTGCAAGGTATTCCTCGTTAGAAATACGAGCAAATGAAGCGGCACGCCAAGTGATGACGAAGTTAGTAGTAGTCACAAGAAGCAATAGACCACCAAGCACCAGTACGGGGATTAAAATCCGACGAGGTATGATGTGGTGGCTACTAAAAGATGCATTTTGAGCACTATGAGCGAGAATGGGAAGCACATTTCGATCTTCCGAGTGTGAATGGCGCTTCATTTATTCCACGTTTTTTGCTGGAAGGCGAATTACAAGTTACACAAATTTCAATAAAAACTGGCTTCGCACAACATTTGCTAATTTAAAACAAACCTAATTAAGAAATGGAATATTTGAAAAATTACCCAAATGTCTGGTCTCTGCTCATAAACATGCAGTAGATGGGTTCAGACTCTAAACTTTACTCTCGCTTAAGTTTAAAGTGTTTCATTGAGAGTTAAAGCCAGCTTAAGCGGATGCTTATTTGAACGTTTTAATACCTAATTTTAATACTTATATTTAAATATAACTCCAAGTAACAATTGCCCAAATTCTCAACGAACTTTTCAATACCATCACTTCGCTCTATGGTACTACATAATGAGTTTTGCACCACTTCTGACCCGCTTTAGACCCAAAGTTCAGCAGTTTTACATAATATGTTGCGTGATCCGTTATCACCAACACTGTGCAAATGCTAGCTTTACTTCATGTTGACGTAAATTGCTATTTTATCACGATGGCTTTCGTTAACGGCTATTATACTCTTTGCAAAAGCAAAGAGTAAAAGGTATTCGTATGTATTATTGCTATTTAGGAGGCATTAGATGAAGTTTCAACCATAACAGGGTGTATAGCTGTGAGTTTCATATAACGCATACAATAGACAAATTTAGAGTTTGATGCATAAGTGTTATGATTTAAATCTCTAAAAAGACTGTAATGCATACATTATAACGACTAATGCCGACGCAATCTGTTCATTATGTAGTATAGTATAATGTAACTTTTAAATTGGGCCGATACACCTTCTAACGACATTAGATTTCTTCGATAATTGTAACTCATGCTTAAGTAATAGTGTGCTTCATCCTACTTGTATAAGCCTTACCCTTTATCGTTTCTGCATGAACTCGCTATCTCACAAAGTTGCTTGAGGCATCGTCTGAACTGTTTTTAAAATTGAAGATACATATTGTCGTGCTACTCGCTACGTATGATATTTCCGATCGTCTGAGGTCTTGCTTATTATCATACACCAAGGTGCACATGAATACGTCTTGGAAAAAAGGACTAACCTCTGGAACAGATACGAAGACTATGGTACTTCCATGTGAGTGGTTGGCACGGATTTAGACCAACTATGCACTTACGGCGGCGCTTTATCAAAAGATATAATAGTTCAAGCAATTTTTGAAGTACCCCAACTTTGCACGAAAATGCTAGAGCATACATGAGTTTGTTAAGCATTACAATTCAGTAAAAACGTAAGAATACTAACGGTGCTTATTGTAAGCAACTTAGCTGTGCGGATCGATGCCTGTACTTCGCAAGGCCGTGCACGAAGTATTCTTCACCGCCACGGCGGCTTACCAATATCAGCAAATGTTAGACTCGCACTCTGAAGTGTAGCCATCCAATGCCGTATTTGCGGTAAAGCTTCGAGTTGATAAGTGGACAAAGTATGTTTGATCCCACAAAAATCTATTTCGAGCCAGGCGTCCTCGCTTAGTAAATTACCTGACCTCGTTCAGTCTGCTTAATGCCAGTTTCGCCAACTGCAAAAATTCATAGCTTCATCAACGAGGTATCGCCGCCGCATATGCAAGATGATAGGCCTTAGTCTGAAAAAACATCACGATCCTCGGCATTATGCTTCCCAGTATCATCTTCATAAGTACGGGCCTCGGTATCATTTTGTGCTTGCTGAAGTTCATACTTCCCGTTTGCACGGCATCGCTGTCAAGTCAAGGGCAAAGCTAAAATGTCGAGAAACATGTTCAATTGGCTTCAATATATGCACTTCAAATATCTGAATTGAGTAATAAATTTCGAGATGACCCTTGCAAGTCATTTATTTGCCTCTTTTCATGTTTCAAGAAATCTTTCGCGAGGGACTGTAGCGTACGCCCGATATGTCATCATTAAGCCCTAGGTATGTCCGCTTAGGACTTAAGTGATACGAAGACTAATCGCCTGTTTGATGTGTATGATTGTGCGAGGTTTTGTGCGTTTTTGTGTTTATGCATTTTTTTATGAGGCTCGATCATCGAATTGTGATCTTCGAAGAAGTGACGTTAACGGTCAAAGACAATAAATATCAGGTAAACTTGTGATGAAAAGACATTAAGTCTTCAATTAAAATGAAATTAACTCAATGTGATGTCCTCCAGAAACGCTAATCCGGAAGAGGTCAGTTATTTCGCTCTTTGTATAAAGCGTCTATTCGAACATAGGTCCCAATTTCTCGCGCAAGGGATGGATAGGGTCGACAGTAAAGGTATCAAATATTATACATACACCCTACAATATCGTGAGAATTTGTTGAAATTGCGATTATCCACGGACTCAATCTGCTCTACATCATTGTGATTAGGGCGTCCAGAAACGACCTAAATTTAGCTATTGGCGAACGAAAAACATGTATGCCAATTTGCATGCAAACCCAAGCTTTAAAAAACACTATCGACTGTACGGGTAGAAAGGCAAGAGCATTGCCAGCATCTTCGCAAGGTAGCATCTACACTATCAATGTATCAAATGTCAGACGTTTATTCTGTCCCCAGTTAAGCGGGCATCCATTCATAGAAGAAGTCAACGATCATTCCACAGCATTGATTAATAGTAATAGTCTTGCTTTTACCATATTGTTAGCCAATATAAAAACGATCATATAATGCTGCAATTATAACGCAAGGCTCTCAATAAATTTTGAAGGTAAATATAATTCGCCGAAAAAAGACTTACAGCAAAGCAAATTTTTTGAAATACCTGAAACATAAACGATACAAAGAGTTAGCTAGGTTTAAATCTCTCTCATCAACGGCTGCAAACGAAACTAATGGCAATTCGCGAAGAAAAGATCTGGTGCACCAGGACATTTGCATGACCTCCAGAAGCGCCAGTGAGTACGTAAATGATGCATAAATGTGAGTAACAGAGTGTTTGTAGCACGTAGAAGTATAGCGTGAGTGTTGTACGCATGTCTCGACTTGACGTTACGATTAGCAATCTCAGTGCTGAGCAAAAGCCGACATAGAATTGGGGTTGGACTACAAGGGAATCGCACCATTGTTAAGGCAAGTCGTTATACACGTCGTTTCTCGAAAGGAAATGTTCAGAAGATAAAAAACAATTTAAAAATAGACACGAAACTTCTGAACCTAGCTGCTAGTACGCAGCTGGGCTCAATAAGTCCTCGCCATATGATAGCAAATTACTCGTGCAATAAATTTAAAATTGAGAACGCACTGCAGTGTTTAACCTTCGAAAGTCGCAAATGATCAGTTTATGTCGAGCTATCTTGCTCGTTGTATGGAACAAGGACGGCACAATTATTCCGCTCTACTATAGGAAGTGAATAGGCGTGCTCAGACACCAAACTGACAACATCATGCGACTGCTGGCAGTGGCAACGCTGCTTGTAGCAGCGCTTACGTCTTTAGAAACTGACGCTAGCGGCATCATATGTAGCAGCGATACCGATTGTGCTAGTGGTGAAACGTGTGTGGCTGGTGACTCGCCACACCCGATTCAAGCATGTGTGGTAGGAGCTGTGTGTGGTGGACTTACTGCTGGGAATTGTCCATCCGACTCGACAAGTGGCCAATTGGCTTGTATTGCACATCAAGGTGTTCATAAGTGCGTGTCTGCTAATCGCTGTGACCAATACTTTGGAGGAGCATCATGCAGTGGTATGTATAGATAGAAAGCGCTTTGAAAAGTTGGCAATTGACAAAAAATTGTTAAATTGCAGGTGGATGCAGTGATGAAAATGGTGTGTTATGCAGTGAACAAGGATTTTGTAGCATCATATCGACAGATTCAGATGGACGACCAAGCTTTGGATGCACATGCAATGATGGATTTAGTGGCGACAAGTGCGAGTCCGGCTCGACTACAAGTTCCGACTCGTCAACACCATCAAGCTTTGATTCGAGAGGGACTACAACTTCATCTGATACTGATGATATCGATACAGACGACTCAACGTTGATATCACGGACCAGT